CTGGATCAGCCAGGGACTTTGCGATGTCCCTGGGATCAGCAGAACGCGCCCCTTACTATCACCATCTCTACGGGACGATTTAGGTCCATTAGGACCAACCAGGGGCGAAGATATCAGCTGCAATCTCAGAGCCCCAGATCTGAATAACAAAGATCTTGCATGCAAAATTGGATGAAGTTTGAAAATAAAATGAAGATATTGAAAAAGTTTAAATATATAACTTATGTTGTATATTCGTGAACTGGGATAGAGCTTGGTAACAAGGTCAGCCAATGAATAGGCATGGTAACTAAATCAGCCAATGGGGACAATTTGGAAACTGAAACTAGAAATAGCCTAGGATGGAAACTGAAACTAGAAGTAGCCTAGGCATGGCTCTATGTTAAGCTGTGCAGCTCTGAAGCTATTGAGTTCTGAATCTGTCTATTGAAATGAATTGCTTCTCTCTTCTGCTTGCCTGCTGAACTAAAGTAAATGAGAAATTAATTTGCTCGTCTGTTGAAGTGACTTGCAATATGTTTCTGTCTGAGTTTGCTGCATGTTGGAAAAATCTACAACTGGTTTAAAAAACCTACTTATTATATTATTAAGTGCTGTAAATAAACAAAGCCATCTGTGTTTATTTTTCTGGAGCTGAATTAATGCTGCAAAACTCTGAATATGTACTTCATGTATGAAATAATATGTAAAGGATCTTATTTAATCTACAACCTGTATATTTAACAGTTTCAAATGTAAAAACTTTGTCAATCAATAGCATGAAGAAAATTTCAAATTTAAATGGATTTCAATTATTTTTAATTATTTCGTTTTCAATTAAAAACCGGGTATATTGATGAAAAAATGGCATTCCATTGACTGTAAGCAAGACAGAAGGAACTATGATTTCTCCATATGATTTCAAGGAATCCAGTTAATATTTATATTACTTTGATTTTCATTTAGCTCCACCATTTTTTGCAGCATGTCTCTTTTAACAACAGTGCTGGAGAACAGGTTTCTTTTGGCCCCAATGGAGAATTTGAAACGGGGTTGGATGTTTTCAATTGGGTCACATTTCCAAACAAGTCCTTTCTAAGAGTCCAAATTGGAAGCATTGATCCTATGGCTCCCCCAGACAAGTTCCACACCATTTCTACCGTGGATGCTGTTTGGCCCCTTGTATTTAACCAGGTGTGTCTTGTTTTTCAGTTTTTAAGAAACCGCGTATTCATTCATCCACAGAAATAAATGATTAAATGACTATCACGACAACAACCTTTGGATTTAGCAGCCTCAGTATTTTTTATATGTGATGTGAACATAAAATACTGAAATATAAATGGGTGATTTAAAATTGAAATGCCCATAACCTTTGATTATCTCCAATGGAAAATCATCTCAGTAATTGTAGTACTGGATTTTGTGATTAGTCAGTTGAACATATCAATGCATGAGCATTGAGTTCAATGCAATGAAATTGAGATAAACTAAGACAAAGCAATCAGATAAATTGATATATGATAAAATAGAATGCAAACATATATTAAAAATGAATACTTCAGATCAAAAAAAGCAGGTGTTTGTTTCCCAAACTCAGCAAATTTATGAGGTGTGGACTTCAATTCCAAACTTCAACATCCTGGCTGGGGAATTCTGGCAGTTGAAGTTCACACCTCTTCTACTTGCTGAAGATTGAGGAACAAATTAATTGAACTGAACTGAATTTTAATGAATTTGAAACAAAAGAAAATGGTGAAATTGGACACTAACGATTGGTGAGGATGGGAAGAGTTTGGGTATGTCTAATTCATCAAATGGAAACTCCCAACACATACATGCTTCATATGAAAGAAATCTCATTTTATTTATAACAGACAATGCCTCTTTCCATCTGTAATGAAAAATGTCCTTCTGGCTCCAGCAAGGTAAAAATTGAAGGGAGATTATCCTGCTGTTATGACTGTAGACGGTGTCCAGATGGGAAGATAGCTGACCAAATGGGTAAGCAAAGAAACATGTTTAATATATGGATAATTTAATAAATATAAATTTATTAAGTATAAGTATTATGGTGTCGGAAAATCTTATCTGATAGGTTGTATACTTTAGTGCATTTTGTATATTATTTTCAAAAAATAATATGAAGTCATGATATCTTAGTAAATAAAGTATGCTATTAATTCTTCATGCTTAAAACTATCATGGTTCTGTGAAACAGTTTTATTTGTTCTTTTTCCCCAGACTTAGATGACTGTTTCCCATGTCCAGAGGATCAATATCCAAACAAGGGTCAAGATAATTGCCTTCAAAAAACTGTCACTTATTTAACTTTCCAAGAGCTGTTGGGTATTTCTTTGGTAATGATTGCAGTCTCCTTTTCTGTCGTCTCAGCTGCGGTCCTGGGAATCTTCATTAAACACCAGGACACTCCCATTGTCAAAGCCAACAACAGGAACCTCACCTACACACTTCTCATTGCTCTCCTGTTCTCCTTCCTTTGCACTCTTCTCTTTATTGGGCAACCTGATCGAGTAAAATGTCTCTTGAGACAAACTACGTTTTGCATCACTTTCTCAATAGCTCTTTCTTGTATTTTGGGTAAAACAACCATAGTAGTTCTTGCTTTCATGGCCACAAAGCCAGGCTCTAAAATGAGGAAGTGGGTGGGGAGAAGGATGGCCAACACTATTGTCCTATCTGTCTTCACAGTTCAGTTCACCATCTGTGTATTGTGGTTGGCCATATCTCCCCCATTTCCAGATTCAGACATGCACTCCATGGTTGAAGAAATTGTCCTGGAATGTAACGAAGGTTCAACCACAATGTTTTATACTGTCCTTGGCTTTATGGGGCTCTTGACCGCTGTCACTTTCACAGTGGCCTTCTTGGCTAGGAATTTACCTGACAGCTTCAACGAAGCCAAATTCATCACCTTCAGCATGTTGGTCTTTTGCAGTGTCTGGGTGTCATTTGTTCCCACCTATTTGAGCACCAAGGGAAAATATGTGGTTGCTGTGGAGATCTTCTCCATTTTGGCTTCAGCAGCTGGATTGCTGGGCTGCATTTTTTCTCCCAAGTGCTATATCATTATTCTGAGACCTGATTTGAATAAGAAGGAGCAATTAATAAAAAAATAAAACTGATATTTATATCTTGAATGAAGATAAATTGGTTATTTTCCATATAATATAAAGGGTTTTGGTTTTGGGGGGTGCTTTGGGGATTCTGCGTTATTTCCTCATATCAGCATATCATGTGACATATAAGACAATAACTTGATATATAGGGACACAGATATATATCCCTAATACACTCACTCTGTGAAACTATGACAGATAATTTAGCATGTCACTCTTGCTTTGCATCAAGATTCCCATGAAGTCAAACGAGGAAGTTAGACATTATTGGAAAAGTAAACATACAGAGAACCTGTGCGACTGCAAACTCTCATTTAACCATCAGACATTTTGGAAGATGATTGTGATGGAGAATTACTTCTTAGCTTCCCTCATTTAACTGTCTTAAATTTCCTTAAAGATATTGGTCTAATAGTGGTTTTATATCTGTGTTTTGTTTCTTGCTTTCAATGAATTTCAAGAAGCCAAATCCCAAAATGTCTCATGAGGCCTAAGTATTTTGCTGCATTTCTTAGAATGACAAAAATATATAATCATAATTCTAATGCAAAAGAACAGGAAAAAATTATGAAATATCACGACCTAGATATCGAAACTACACAATTATTGGATGAAACATGCAACAGTGATACCCATTGTCATCGGGGTACTTGGTACAATGTCCAAGAATTTTTGAAAATACCTCAAGAATTTGCAGCTTCCTGCGATAATGCTAGCAAGCTGCAAAAGGTTGTGCTACTTAAAACAATGTAAATTTTAAGAAGATTCTTGTTGAAACCTAGGATGCTGTCAGCAAACTATATCAACCATTGGAGCAAGTCAGTGATATTTGTGATACATTTTTAAATGTTCAATTGACTGAGTTTTATGTTTAAATAACAATAACAGTAACAGTAACAATAAAAACAACAATAACATAATTATTATGTGAACCAAAGTACATAAAAATTTCTGCAAGCTGTGAAAACAGAGAACATCTTGGTCTTTTGCAGTGTCTGGGTGTCATTTGTTCCCACCTATTTGAGCACCAAGGGAGAATACGTGGTTGCTGTGGAGATCTTCTCCATTTTGGCTTCAGTAGCTGGATTGCTGGGCTGCATTTTTTCTCCCATGTGCTATATCATTATTCTGAGACCTGATTTGAATAAGAGGGAGCAATTAACTGAGTTTCATTTTTAAATAATAATAATACAAATAACAATAACAATAACAGATTGATTATGTGAACCAAAGTACAGAAAAATTGCTGCAAGCTGTGAAAACAAAGAACATTGTAAAAACAACAGAAGCAGAAGCACAATATAAGGAAATACAGCTGGAAGATAGATTAAATAGATGGAAAACCAAAGCTTTGCATGGACAGCACTTGAAAAACATTGAAGGAAAATGTGATGACAGCTTGAAATGGGCATGGCTTATTCTTCCATCAAGAAAGAAATGGAAAGTTTAATACTTGCTGCTCAAGAATAAGAACTACAAACTAATCAGTGGTGGGATTCAAAAAAATTTATTGCCAATTCTGTGGACATGGCTGGGTGGGTGTGGCTTAGTGGTCATGTGATTGGGTGGGCATGACTGGTTAGTCATGTAACTGGGGGAGGGGGGCATGACACATCACTCATGTCAAGGGGTGCCTTGCTTTGCCCGGCTTGCCTGGCCTCCTGAACTCTTCTGTTCTTTTTCTATTAATCTGTCTACTACTACAGTGTCTGGTAGATTATCTAATGCCTGCCTGTCCTTCTGAATCTGGAACTCTCACAGATTCTTAGCTCTATTCTTCTCCACAATCTTCTGTGGAAACTCCTTGATGACTTGCTAGAGAATTCTGGGAGTTAAAATCCATACATCTTTCAGCTGAGTGACACTGATCTAGCCCTTGGGTTCCATCTAGTGTGGTAAATCCCTGCTACTATAGATCTGGTGCTTAGTGCCTGTTCTTGTGCTGTTATGATCAGTGATCAGTGCTGCCTTTTATGCACACACACTTCAGGAATAATTATAATAATGATGATTTCTCATTCATTTCCTTACTAATAGTAGAAGTAAAATAATCAGCCAAAAATGTAACCTAAAGTTGGAACCCAAAATCAGATGTACACTAAATGTAGACTGATTTTTAGCTACATATCTTCCCAGCAAACACCAAATTTTGAAGCTCCAGGTAAAGAAGATTCATTTTAGGAGGAGTAATCACAGTTTGCATGTTGGAGTTTCCAAAAGGAATGTTGGGAAATTCTGTATTTTAAGGAACATTTGAAGGAGGTGTGCAAAATAGTTCTTCTCTGCCTGGGGCTATAGAGATCTGGCACCAATCAAAATATTGTTTGTAAAGTAACTGATCAACACTGAGGGTAAGCCACCAATATATGAGAATAAGAGCAAACTCCACTCTCTTCTAGTACTGATGATGTTACCTAGTTTGGTAATGAAACATCTGCATCTATGGTTCATATTGCTTTAATCACTATTGGTTAAGGAAACCACAACTGATTTATTTAATTGCACCAAACTCTAAATAAATCAGGAATGGAAAATCCTAAGCTATAGTGTAGACTCATGCTTCTCAACTTTGGCAATTTTAAGGTGCATGGACTTCAATTCCCAAAATTCTCAAGGTAGCACGTAGTTCACCCATCTTAAACTTGCCAAGACTGAAAAATGCTGATCTTCAGAGAGAGATTTTTCAATTCCTCTTTTACTGGTTCTTACTTATTTATAAGCAATCATAATGCAAAATCCTCACTTCCATCCCATTCCCTCACTAACCTGATTTCCAGCTCCATTCTCCTCCATGCAGGGCAACCAAAAAACACTATTTGACTATCAGTTTAAAAAAGGTTTAATCAGACCTTCCAAAAAAGAAGTTGGAGCTTCTTTTTTTGACAACCTTCATTTTTTTGAAATGGGGTGGAAATTAGACTTTGCATTATAATGCAAAATCCTCACTTCTACCCCTTCCAAGAGAAAAGATAATGCCATATCCTCATTTCTACCCCATTTCAAAATAATGATAATGCAAATTCCATTCCAGAGCACAGACCAATCCCTCACTAACTTGATTTCCAGCACTCGTCTCCCCCATGCAGGGCAACAAAAAAAGACCCTGTGACTACCAGTTCAATCAGACTTCTAATGCCTCCAGGGAATAAAGTTCTAAGTTCTGACTGAACTGACTGATTAATCTCCCAGCTGCTGGGGCTCCTGGTCCATTTGCAAGGACAAAGTTGAAACCGTTTCACATTTAATATGTAAAGGCAGCAAAATTGCACAAACTGATTACAAAGCTAGACATGACTAAGTTGCTAAATTAATCAACTTTTTGTTCTGTAAAAAATGCGACTTACCCGTATTTGAAAAATCATGGGAACATAAAGTGAATAAAGTTATTAAAAATGAGAAGGTGAAGATCTTGTGGGACTTTGGAATATAGACAGATCACCATTTTGAACACACAATGCCAGATATTACAGTTGTCAAAAACTGAAAAGTACAATTTATTGATATTTCAGTACCAGGAGATGCCAGAGTCCAAGAAAAAGAACTAAAAAAAAAACATGAAATATTACAACTTGGCCATCAAAACTATGCAATTATGAATGAAACATGTAACAATGATATCATTGGGGCACTTGGCACGTGTTCAAGAATTTACAAAATACATCAAGAAATTCCAGCCTTCTGCACTTTCACCAGCAGAATTGCAAAAAACTGCTACTCAGAACATAATACATCTTTAAAAGGTACTTAGTTGATTCCTGGGATGCTGGCAGCAAGCCGTATCAACCATTAGCACCACTCGATGGTATTTGTGATGCATTTTTGAATGTTTAATTGACTGAATTTCATGGTTAATGAATAAAGTATATTTATTTATTTAATTTATTTAATTTATATTGCTGTCTATTCGCCCATGGTGACTCAAAGCAGCTTACATAGTGTAAAACCATATTTAAATTAAAAATAAAAAAAATAAAATCTAAGAAAAAGAATCAAATAAATTAATAAAGTACAATAGAACAAAATCTGAAAAAAAATAAAATAGATAAAAAAATTATAATCATAATTGGAATTAAGCTAAAATGTAGGGGAGGCTGGTTTTTTTATATTGATGAGTGTGGCATTTCTTTTACTTCTTAAATATATTGTCTTGTTATAAAAAGGAAATATTCAGTTGTATTACAGCAGCCACATTGTCATCAATCCAGTAGTAATTATAAAGAGTTAATCCTAGGATGATTTACATAATTTAAAATTTTAAAGATAAGGGGAAAATAATGTCAATATGAATTATGGTTTCTGGGATGCTAATGAATAAAGGGTTAAATGTGGCTTTGTTGACAATTGTGAAATGGATGAACTTATTTTATAAGGCAATAAATGTTTTTTCTTTCTTAAGTTCAATCCTTTACACTGAGATCTTCACTGAATTCGTATTTATTGTTGTTTACAAATGGCAGAGAGAAAATAAAGAAAAAGAAAAAGAAATTTATTTGTAAAAGTAAATTACTATTTGGTTTGTAATGTCCCCTTTATTTATTTATCAAATTTTTATAACACACTTCCTCATGTAGTGATTCTGAGCACTGTTCATAATACTATATCGATTATAGTACTATATAGGAAGTCCTTGACTATGACCACAATTGAGCCCAAAATCTATGTTGTGAAGCAAGATAGTTTTAAGTGAGATTTGCCTAATTTTACAACCTTTCTTGCCACAACTGTTAAATGAATTGCTGCAGTTGTTAAGTAAGGAACTTCAGTTTTTAAGTGAATTTGGTTTTCCCATTGACTTTTCTTGTCAGAAGGTCCCAAAGATGATCACATGACCCCAGGACACAGAATCATAAATATGAACCAGCTGCCAAGCATCCAAATTTCAATTGCATGACCTTTGGGATTCTGTAATAGTCATAATGTGAAAAACAGCCATCAGTTACTTCCTTCAGTGCCTTTGTAACTTTGAATAGTTACCAGTTCAAAAGTTACCAATCATTTTA